AAATAGAAAAGGCGAAAAATTTTAAAAATCAAAAACCGGGATGCCAAGAAATGGAAGCAATAAATCCTAAAATCGAAAAATCAATAAAGTGAAAAAAATTTGAAAATTCGAAAAATTGAAAAATAGAAACATCGAAGAACTGAAAAATTAAAAAATCGTAGTCTAAAATTTAAAAAACTGAAAAATTAAAATATGGCAAAATTGAAGAATCGGCAAATCGAAACATGAAAAAATCGAAAAATTTAAAGATCCAAAAGCCAAGAAGTTGAAAAATCGAACAATCCAAAATTTAAAAAACTAAGAAATTGAAAAATCGAAAAACCGAGTAATCGAAAAATTGAAAAAAAAATGCAAAAAAAATTGAAAAATTAAAAAATCGGAAAATTGAAGAATAGAAAAACTGAAAATCGAGAAACTGTAAAATCCGCAAACTGAAATGACGAAAAATTGAGAAATCGAAAAGTCGAAAAATGGAAAAACCGAGAAATCAAAACACCGGAAAATGGAAAAACGGAAACATCGAAAAACGAAACATCAAAAGATCGAGAAATCGAGAAATCGAAAAGTCGAGAAGTCGAAAAATCGAAAACTTAAAAATTCGAAATATGTATTGGAAAATCCCAAAAACGGACATATTGAAAAATCGAGGAAAAATTGAAGAATCGAAAAAATTTAAAAGCCAAAACTGAAACATTAAAGAATTGAGATATGTAAAAATTAAAAAAACGAAAAATCGAAAAGTCGAGAAATCAAAGTTGAAAAATCGAAAATTTAAAAAATCGAACAACTGAAAAATCAAAAACCTGAAAAATCGAAAATATGAAGAATTGAAAAACCGAAAACTCGAGAAGTCAAGAAATCAAAAATTGAAAAATCGTAAAACCGAAAAATTTGAAAACTGAGAAATCGAAAAATGAAAATAGAAATCGAAAATTTGAGGAATCGAGAAAGTGAAAAATTTTAAAATTGGAAAATCCCAACACTGAAATATTGAAAAAATGACCATCGAAAAATTGAAAAAGCGAAAACTAATTTTCAAATTTGAAATGTGAACATCGAAAATTGAAAAATCGAAAAGCCGAAAAATCGAAAATTCAAAACAGAAAAATGGAACAACTGAATCATCGAAAAACGAAGCTTCAAAAGATCGAGAAATCGAAAATCGAGAAGTCAAAAAAATCGAAAAATTAAAAAATCTAAATAGTCCTAAACTGAAAACTTCAAAATTATGAAGTATCGATTAATTGAAAATTCGAAAAATTTGCAAAATTAAAAAAGTGAACAATCGAAAAATCGATAAATTGAAAAATCGAAAAATTGATGAAACGAAAAACTGAGAAATCAAAAATTTTGAAAATTGAAAAAATAGATAAATCTTAAAACCGAGAGGTCGAAAAGTCAAAAATCTAGAAATCGAAACATCAAAAATCTGAAAATTCTAAAATTTAAACCTTCGAAAAATTGAAAAATCCCAAAAACTGAAATATATACTGAAAAATTGAGAAAACGAAAAATTAAAAAAACAAAAAATCGAAAAGTCGAGAAATCTCAAATTTGTAAATTGAAACCAAAAAAATGAATATTTTTGGATATGTGTGAATTGAAAAATCGGACAATTGAAGAATCGAAAAACTAAAATTCCAAAAGTGAAATTACAAAAAATTGGGAAATCGAAAAGTCGAAAAGCCGAAAATTCGCAAAAACCAAACATCGAAAAATTGAAAAACTGAAACACCAAAAGATCGAGAAATCAGAAAAGTCGAAAAACCGAAAAACTGAGACCTCGAAATAGCCCAAAATCAAAAATTCGAACAAATTCTAATATTTAAAAATTCGAAAAATTGAAGAATTCTAAAAACTGAACTATTAAAAAATTGAAAAACTGAAGAAATATTGAAGAATACAAAAATTTAAAAAACCAAAACTGTAACATTGAAAAAAGTCGAGAAATCGAAGTTGAAAAATCCAAAACACAAAAAATCGAACAACTGAAAAATCAAAAACCTGAAAAATAGAAACTGTGAAGAATTAAAAATCGAAAAATCGAGAAATCGAAAAGTTAAGAAATCAAAAAATCGAAAAACCAATAAATTGATTCATTGAAAAATCGAAAATTTAGAAACTCCAAAAATTGATAAACTGAAGTCGAAAAATTGAAAGATCGAGAAATTGAAATATCAAAAAACTGAAAAATCTAAAATTTAGAAGGTCGAAAAATTGAAAAATCGAAGAACTAAAAAATCGAAAAAGCGAAAACTTTAAAATTTTAAAAGCGAAAGATTAAAATATTTTGAAAAATGGAAAATATGTATCAAAAAATCGAAAAATTGAAAATTCGAAAATTTAGAAGTTCGAAAAGCTGAAAAATAGAAATATTGAAGAACTGAAAAATCACGAAGAGAAATTGAAGAATCGAAAAATTGAAAAATCGAGAGGTCGAAAAGTCGAAAAATGGAAAATTTACAAAATTAGAAAATTGAAAAATCAAAAAACTGAAAAATCCAAAAATTGAAGAATCGAAAAATTTAAAAAACCCAAAACTGAAACATTGAAAAATTGAAAAAAAGAAAAATCGAAAAGTCGAGAAATCTAAGTTGAAAAATCCAAAACTCAAAAAATCGAACAACTGAAAAATCAAAAACTTGAAAAATCGAAAATGTGAAGAATTGAAAAACCGAAAAATCGAGAAATTGAGAAGTTAAGAAATCAAAAAGTCGAAAAACCAATCAATTGATTAATTGAAAAATCGAAAATTTAGAAACGTCAAAAACTGATAAATTGAAGTTGAAAAATTGAAATATCGAGAATTCGAAACATCAAAAAACTGAAAAATCTAAAATTTAGAAGGTCGAAAAATTGAAAAATAGAAAAATCGAAGAACTAAAAAATCGAGAAAGCAAAAACACCAAAATTTTCAAAGAGAAAGATTAAAATATCTTGAAGAATCGAAAATATGTATCAGAAAATCGAAAAATTGAAAATTCTAAAATTTAGAAGTTTGAAAAGTTGAAAAATTGAAATATCAAAGAACTGAAAAATCACGACCTAAAAATCTAAAATATTAAAAATTGAAAATTTTGAAGAATAAAAAAATTGAAAAATCGAGAAATTCAACCGTCAAAAATTTGAAAAGTTGATGAAATGAAAAATCTAAAAATTCGAAAATCGAGAAATCGAAAAGTCGAAAAATGGAAAATTAAAAAAATTGGAAAATCGAAAAATCAAAAACCTGAAAAATCCAAAATTTCTAAATCCAAGTATTGAAGAATTGAAAAACTGAAAAATCGATAAATCAAAAAGTCGAAAAACCAAAAATTGGTAAATTGAAACCTTACAAAAATTAAAAAAACGAAAAATCGGAGAGTCGAGAAATCGAAGTTGAAAAATTTTAAAAATCGAACAAACTGAAAAATCGAGAAGTCAAGAAATCAGAAAGGCGAAAAACCGAAAAATTTAAAAATCGTAAAACTGAAACATTGGAAAACTGAGAAATCGAAAAATGAAAATAGAAATCGAAAATCTGAGGAATCTAGAAAGTGAAAAATCTAAAAATTTAAAAATCCCAACATTGAAATATCGAAAAAGTGAGTAATCGAAAAACTGAAAATCAAGGAATTGAAAAAGCGAAAATTGAAGAATAAAAAAACTGAAATATCGAAAAATTAAGAAATCGAAAATTAAAAAATCGAAAAACCAAAAAATCGAAAATTCGAAACAGAAAAATGGAAAAACTGAATCATCGAAAAACGAAGCATCAAAAGATCGAAAAATCGAAAAATTGAAAAATCAAAAAAAAGAAAAATCGAATAGTCGAGAAATCGAAGTTGAAAAATCCAAAACTCAAAAAATCGAACAACTGGAAAATCAAAAACCTGAAAAATCGAAAATGTGAAGAATTGAAAAACCGAAAAATCGAGAATTCGAAAAGTTAAGAAATCACAAAGTCGAAAAACCAATAAATTGAAGCCGAAAAATTGAAAGATCGAAAATTCGAAAATAGAAAAATCCAAGAACTAAAAAATCCAGAAATCGAAAACTCTAAAATTTTAAAAGTGAAAGATTAAAATATCTTGAAAAATGAAAAAATGTGTCAAAAAATCGGAAAATTGAAAAATCATAATACTGAAACATTGGAAAACTGAGAAATCGAAAAATGAAATATTAAAATCCAAAATTTGAGGAATCATAATACTGAAATATCAACAAATTGAGTAATCGAAAAACTGAAAAAGTAGAATGAAGAAAGATTTCAAATGATTCGGTTTTGCAATTTCAAAGTTAAATTGCAAATGTTACAGAATTTTCATTCTTTCCCCAATAATCTGCAAGTCTAAGTAAAAATTCAAAACGAACTCATAAAACACATTTTACCATTGTAAAATTTGGAGATGATTCCACTGTTGATGGTGATGAGTAGGCAAATTTGGTTAGCGCTCTATTATTCACATGATATAAAATAATAATTACAAACAACATACAAAATTTGACAACAATTGGTTCGATAATTTCGGAGACTAACTGTCTAATAAAAATCCAGACAGACGGCAGACAGACAGGCGGAAAAGAAGGACCTATTTTTTCGTATTATAGGGGTAATGAAACGTTGAAAGAACATTAAAGTAGGCAGGGAATATCGAATGTTGTAGTGTAAATGACACTCCAAAATACGGTTCTCGATTTTCTTGATTGCCATACCGCCGCCACTGGTGTAACTGTGACAATAACACCTTATTTTTAGTGAATTGAATTTTCCTCATTCTCTCGCACGTTTCTCATTTATTTTAAACCCGGTAATCTCTTCCGAAAAATTCCTTCCGCTGTGGGTCGAGCCTTAGTGCACGTGTGCAATTTTTGCAACAACCGCGACGTAAATTCCCCGAAAAAATTCCCCTTCGTCCATACAACGCCGCCACGAACGCAATCCGTTTACATAAGCCCACCTCAATGCCAACCCATAGCGATTTCAATATCCCCAACGAGTCGAAAGTGTCCAGTCATAATAGCCGTCGGATGGGTATAATGGCAAGGATCACGTGGGCCTCCACGTTACGCCAAACGTGATCTCCCGGCTCATGTGCACACAAACAAACAATCCGCGAAGCACGTCCGCCGCCGCCCCCGCCCGGGGGCGGCCCGGAGCCGCGCTGCGACTCCGGGCGGCGGCGATGTGGCCGCAGTCACGTAGTGACGGAGGCATCGCACCGCTTCGCCTTGTCGCGGATTAGACGCTCTGCTCACGTGTACTCTAGCGTGTTCGCCGAGTGGATTCAGTGGCCGAGGAGTAGATGAAAGCGAAGCGCGACCGCGAGCGTAACAAGTTTCCGTGAGCCGATATTATCGTGTGATGTGGTAAGCCCTTACAGCCCTTGGTCGGAAAATGGACATGACGCACGCCTACTGGGACGAGAACTCGGCCAACCTGCAGCGGGTCAAGTTCGAGGGGTGAGTCGCGAAAATCAGTCCAGCTTGACGCGCTTTTGCGATCATAAAACGAGGTTTGTTATTCGCTGACGCGTTCACGGTAAACAAAATTCGGCTAGGGGCGCCCCCCCTCGAGCCGTTTTTCACATTGACGCAATATTATTTATGCAGGAAGTCGGATTATTTCGGGACGCGCACGTGATAGCAATTAACGGCGCGATCGGAGTGCGAGATTGCCAAAAGTACGCCACCCCTTGTGCAGGGCCGGACTGGCGGATTTCACCTAGCGTGGCGACACGTGTGGGGTTAACAGTCGGTAAATAAACACCGCAGAAGAGTCGATCGAACGGATTGGCACAAATTCGTACCGTTTTATCTGCAGATGTTGGATCAAAAATACGTTTATCCGGTACATTTGTCACATACTAATTAATTTTTACGGCCGGCCAACAGATGGTTAATGATCCCACTGATCGCAGGTTCACACTTTGCACGCCTTTCTTTTCGTTCTGACAGATTCACAAAATAATTCATGGAAACGTAGTTATCTTGAAGTTTCCTTGCCTCTGAAGTACGACTTGTGCCCGAATAATTTTCTTAAATTTCTAATTTTATAAAATAAAATCGTATAAATCGTATTCGTGTTATTGCATAAAATAATTAATCGTCAGTGTTTTTTTTTGAGGTAAACAGCCAAATAACACACTCCTCTACTTGTAGTTTATGAATCCGCCTTGACAAACTTTTATAACAATGTGTTATACTAATATAAGAGCTCACATGACTCAATTGGTAACTCAAAAAGTAGCAATAAAAATTTTAACTTAGCAGTTTTTTATTTTAGTTTGAATCGTGTTTGTGTGAGTTTTGGCCAATAAAAAGAATTTATTTTCATTTACGCTGCTAAATGGTAAGTGTTATTTATGTTTACAAGGTTTACTCGAATGTTTATAATGTTTTATTATACCTGTTCCTAAGAAAAATATTGCTCTAAATACAGCCTTATATTCATACGGAAAAATGATGGTTTGTCGGGGATTGTTATTTTATAAAATTTAAATAGCATTTACTATGCAAAATTTTTAGGTTACGTTTTACCATCTACACGCAATGTCTGAAATATAAATAGATCCCCATGTCCGAATTTTTATTATACAGATAATCTCCGAAACTACCGGATTGATTGTTGTCAAATTTTGTGGTTTATGAATCCGTGTTGACTTTTTACTTTAAGCATCCAGATTTTTGGAGAAAAAAAAACAAAATTGTGTAATGACCAATTTAGAATTTTACTTTGAAATTCCAAAATCGAATGCTTTGAAATCTTGCAAACGTGTTGAGGTTATCGGAAGTATGGTAAGTCGTTAATCAAAATTCCGTTTATCCAGCCTTCCCCAGGAATTGATGATGTCATGTTACAATTTATGTCGTATAACTGTCATTTAAATGTTAAAACGGTACTAAACTTGTGGTTTATGAATCCGTATTGAATTTTTATCTTGGACATTCCGAGTTTTACAAAAAAATTTCGATTTCTCAGTTTATAATTTTCGAGTTTTCCACGATTTTTCAATTATTCGTTATTTCCGGGACTTTTCAGTGTTGGAATTTTTGGATTTTTCGATATTTTCATTTTTATTTAAATAATTAACCTAAATTTTATTTTTCGATTTGTCAATTTCTCGATTAATCGATTTTTTGTTTTTTTAATTTCTCGGTTTTTCGATTTTTCAGTTTCTCACTTCTTTAATTTCTCGATTTTTTAGGTTTTTGATTTTTCAATTTTTCGATTTTTAAAATTTTCGATTATTCAATTTTTGACGTTTCTAAATTTTATTTTTTGATTTCTCAATTTCTTGATTAATCTTTTTTTTGTTTTTTTGACTTCTCGATTTCTCGATTTTTCAGTTTTTCACTTAAATTTTTCAACTTTTCAGGTTTTCGATTTTTAAAATTTTCATTTTTTCGATTTCTCATTTTTCGATTTTTCGATTTCCCGATTTTTTACTTTTTTTTTAATTTTAGATTTTTCAGTTTTTCGATTTTTTGATTCTTCAATTTATTGTTTACCGAATTTTAAATTTCGGATTCTTCAGTTTTTCAATTGTTTGACTTTTCAATTTTTCGATTTCCTGATTTTTCATTTCCTCAATTTTTCAGTTTTCGATTTTTCAATTCTTGATTTTCGATTTTTTAATTTTTTGACATTTTAATTTTTCAATTTTCAAAATTTTAGTTTTTTCGATTTCTCGATTTTTCATATTTTCAATATTTCTATTTTTCAGTTTTCCGAATTTTCAAATTTATACGACATTCCTAAAATATAAATAAAACTTGATATAGTGAACCAAGACCTATAAGGTTATATGGCCATCATAAAAGTAGTTGACCGCAAATAAATACCCCCTTTGTGTGGTTCGCACTAAGCTTACCGGTTGGCAATAAATCATCTTCTAAACATTTCTTGCTCATATTTAACAGGGCCGGCTTTCAAAGCGAGTGGTTATTTCGGAACCCTCAGCGGCTGCAGGTAGTAAAGAAATAGTGGAATGGTGGATTTTCATATTTAGTGAAAGCCGCCCCTGAACGAAACCACAAGAGCCGGTCGAGCTGCAGTGGACACGTTATTTACGACCCTAAAACCTTTTCTATTGTAAACAACTTAACTTCGACACAATGGGATGATTTTATGATGGCCATATAACCTTATAACTCTTGGTTCACTATAATAATAAGTCCAATAGTTTCGGAAATTGTTTAAAATTGACATAGACGAGAGAAATATCGAAGAACTGAAAAATTTAAAAATCGAGAAATTGAAAAGTTCAAAATTAAAAAAATCGGAAAATTGAATCGAAAATCTGAAAACTCAAGAAATTGGAATATTCCGAAATTGAAATGACGAAAAATTGGGAAATCAAAATATCGAGAAAGTGAAAAATAAAAAAAAAATAGATTCGAAAAATTAAAAAATTGAAAAACTGAAAATCGAAAAATCCAGAAACTGAAAAATTTCGAAAATTGAAATGTTGAAAAATCGAAAAGTGGAAAAATTTTAAAAATCAAAAAAAAGATGTCAAGAGATGGAATAAAAAAATCATAAAATTCTTCAATTTTTCCATCTTCAAATTTTTCGATTATTCAATTTTTGATTGTTCTAAATTTCATTTTTCGATTTCGCAGTTTCTCAATTAATCGAATTTTTGTTTTTTTGACTTTTCGATTTCTCGATTTTTCTTTCAGTTTCCCACTTCAATTTTTCGAATTTTTCGGTTTTTGATTTTTCAATTTTTCGATTTCCCAATTTTTCGACGTTTTAGTTTCAGGATTTTTAAATTTTAGATTCTTCAATTTTTCGTTTGTTTGACTTTTCGATTTTTCGATATTCCCACTTTTTACTTTTTCGATTTTTCAATGTTTTGATTCACAATTTTTCAATTTTTCGACATTTAAATTTTTCAATTTTCAAAATTTTAGTTTTTTTCGATTTCTCGATTTTTTGATACTTCAATTTATTATTTACCGATTTTTAAATTTCGGTTCTTCAATTTTTCTATCTTAAAATTTTTCGATTATTGAATTTTTGACGTTTCTATTTTACTTTTCGATTTCTCAATTTCTCGATGAGTCGATTTTTTGTTTTTTGACTTTTCGATTTCTGGATTTTTCATTTTTTCACTTTTTCAATTTTTCGATTTTCTCGGTTTCTGATTTTTTAATTTTTCGATATTTTAAATTTTCGGTTTTTCGATTTCTCAATTTTTCGACGTTTTAGTTTTGGGATTTTTCTATTTTTCTATTTTCGATCTTTCGATTTCTCAATTTGTTGCTTTTTCGATTTTTAAATTTTAGATTCTTCCGTTTTTCGATTGTTTGACTTTACGATTTACTTTTTCGATTTTTCGGTTTTAGATTTTTCAATGTTTTGATTCTCGATTATTCAATTTTTCGACATTTTAATTTTTGAATTTTCAAAATTTTAGTTTTTTCGATTTCAGTTTTCCGAAATCACAGACGAGAGAAATATTGAAGAGCTGAAAAGTTGAAAAACTGAAAAATCGAAAAATCTAGAGATTGAAAAATTGAAAAATTTAAAAGCCGAGAAATCCAAAAATTTAAAAAATCGGAAAATTGAATCGAAAAACTGAAAATCGAAAAATCAGAAGGTCCAAAAATTGAAAAATCCAGAAACTGACAAATTTGAAAAAATTGAAATATTGAAAAATCGAATAGTCCGAGATGCCAAGAATTCGAATAAAAAATCGTAAAATTGAAAAACTGAAAAATCAATAAACTAAAAGATCCAAAATTTGAAAATCCGAAAAGTCTAAAATTTAAAAATCTAAAAATTAAAATATAGAAAAATTGAAGAATCGGGAAGTCGAAACATCAAAAAATTTTTTCAATTTTTGGATTTTTTGAAACTTCAGTCTTTGATTTTGCGATTTTTAAATACATATTAGATTTTTCAATTTTTCAATTGACTTTTTCGATTTTTCAGTTTGAGATTTTTCATTGTTTTGATTCTTAATTTTTCAATTTTTCGACATTTTAACTTTTCAATTTTCAAAATTTTAATTTTCTCGATTTATAGATTCTCGAAGAAAAAAATCTAAGAACTGAAAGGTTGAAAATTTGAAAAATCGAAAAATCTAGAAATTGAAAAATCTATAATTTAATAACCTAAAAATTGAAAAACTGAAAAGCCGAGAAATCGAAAAATCCAAAATTTAGAAAATTGAAATGTTGAAAAATCGAAAAGTTGGAAAATTTAAAAAATCAAAAAACCGAGATTCCATCTTCTATTTTCGAATTTTTCGGTTTTTGCTTTTTCAATTTTTCGATTTTTTAAATTTTCGGTTTTTTGATTTCTCATTTTTCGATTTTTCGATTTCCCAATTTTTCGACGTTTTGGTTTCGGGATTTTTCAATTTTTTTATTGTTCAATTTTTTAATTTTTCCACGTTTCGATTTTTCAATTTTTCGACATTTAAGTTTTTAAATTTTCAAAATTTTAGTTT